ATGAATAAATTGAGAATGCGTACAATTCTAAAGTAATTTATTACTTAGATTATTATTGATGTTAAATATCTTAACGTTATATTCACAATAATTTTTTTAATAAGCAATACCGTTAGCTTTCTTAAAACATTGTCCTCTATTTCTCCTGTCAAGTTTTGATGCATCATAAAGAGTTGTTTACCGACAATAAAAACGATGTACAATAGATACACAATCATAATTATGGTGTCATTAAGTGCCCGCATGGTTATAGCAAACTATGTGCAATCGTCTGTGATAACCCTCCATACTTGATGTTTCTGATGCATTAACTGTATTTACATTTATATTATAAAGAACGCTTTCTATCGTCTGAATTACACATATTTATATTAAAAGCTATTTTCCCGCGACTAGCTTATATTAACCGCGTATGATGTTACTTTTAGTAGGTGATTTTTTTTTTATAATCATCCAGCTCTGTACCCAACAGAGCCTATTCAATTCAAACAAACAAAAATCAAATATTTCTATTTTACAATTTTAATATAATTATATCGCAAATGATAATCGATAAAGTTTAACACAAAAACAATTCGAAAATAAAGTGTATGAAAGCTTAAACAAAATATAAGTCTATAAAAATATATATAATTAGATACTGAAGTTAGATATAATGCCTTAATTATAATAGAACAGCATTCAAGAGCGATATAATAACAATCGGTGAACTAAATGATTTACAGAAATACATCTGTTGTACCGGTTCGCAAAATCCATTTTTTTTAAATTTTAAATGTATAAAATGAATAAGCAGAATTTCATATGGGTTTCACCAATTGACTGAATAAATCACAAGGAAGATTTTTGTGTATAATTAATTCAAATAATGAAATAAATTGCTTGAAGTATGACAATGATTTGTGGGCGGTGATCGGAAAACATCAAGCTGGTTGGGGCATAACTAAATGTAAATTGAATGAATCTATAAAGTAAAACATTACTAAAAATAAGTTCATCGTTTTGGTACCTATTTTACTCTGTTGTTCCGATTGCTTTGAATAATGTTGTTTCCTGTTTTTAATAGTGGCGATTACATATGATTGTTGTTGACGCAGGATCATATTTATTACTACAATGTCAATCTACGCAGTCGATTTAGAACTCTAATTTTAACGTATGAGAATTTGAACTAATTCGGAGTATTTGTATAAACAGAATGTGTTGGTGAGTGTATACTTGACTAGTAAATGTATCGGATAGTTTATTTGTATACAATATGTTTTGGTAGATTTACTCCAAATACGTTCAGTCGATGTTCATTTTGAAATAATTCATTAAAAGAGTGAGATCAGTCCAAGAAATAATGCCACACTCTCGTAATTGTCAAGTTTTGATTTGGAACTTTAGTTTAAATAGATTAAAGTTTAAATTTGACAGTTTCGGATAACCAGGTAAGATGTTAACTGTTAAACTTATATTATATCTCAAACCTTAGTTCGTATGTAGATGAAGTCAAAAGTATTGAAACTACGTTATTTAAGAAATTAATCTGTATTTTATTGATGAGTTTATTATTTTTGTTCAAAATCAATTTAGGTGACTATATTTTTGGGATTATTGTAATATCCGATTTACCAGACAAGAAATGTTGGGTTTGAATATAAATTTAGACATTACTTTATTGACTTAATGCTTTTGTTATTGAAGTTTATCTGATATCAAATATTTGATGTAGTAAAGTTGAAGTTTATTTGAATGTTATTTACGAAAGAGACTTATCGCAGACGGCAGAATTAAAACTCTATTCCTTTAAGTCTAATGTCAATATAGTCCAATACGTATAATCTTTTAGCCAAACATAATGTCACTGACAGGATGTCAATAAAAGCTGAGGCCGAATGAATGATTCACCGTCGACTGAATTTACTTTGTTGGAGTGTGATTAAAATAAGGTGGACACTGATTCAACAGTTACACACTGAACAAACAACTAATGAGCACAGGAACAAGTACTTGTCTATCGATTACTAATAACACTCGATATTGAGTGTTGATAACACTTTACTTGTATCATTCTTTTTGTTCTCAAATTTTTAACTAAATGAGATATTTCTCGAATACTAAATGTCAACTGTTATGGTAAAATGACTAAAATACTGGCCAGCATTGAGAAAATTCCTGAACCGACTGAATTTCATTCATTCATTGTTTATATTTCAACATATAAATAGTTTAAAAAATCAGTTGATTTCTCGACATGTAAGTTTTACACGCTGAAGTCCGGGTAAATTAATTTGTCATTATAAAAATGGACCGATCACGGTGTTTGTTTTTTAGATTGTCATTGAGTTTTTGTTGGCAAAATCTAACCTAAATTTGATAGGTTTGAAAGGCTTTAAGATTTTAAGTTTAGCATATTTAAATAAATCTTAACTTATCTCAAATTGTTAATAAGCTAAGTGTGCAATTTAATTGTATTTTTTTATATAATGTAGACGTCTCTACTTTAATCAACTTTAATATTTTTGCTTTGAAAATCATGAGCGCTCGTCCCGAGGCGTCAAAATTTGCATTTTTATGTGGGTCGGTGGGACGAGAGCGTGGTCGCAGTTTCACCGGTACCAAGGCACACTGACCCCGTTGGCGTACTTTTGTTATGTCAACTGTCAAAATTTAAAAGATTATCGACCTCATTCATTAGCTCGACACTCCTTTGTTCTTTTATCTATCAGATGATCATTATGTACCCATCTTGAATATTTAACTATACTGATAAAATCAGATATGTATGTCGGAGAAACGTTTTCAGAGTTAAAAAAAGCGAAAAATTATTAGCTTTTGTCACAGTACCAGGAAATATTACCGTGGATAGGCTTTTGTGATGCATATGTTATTTTTCACAATTTGCCAATGTGCAATGTGCACATTTCGTGGATTTAAGTAATTTGTAACCATCCGGCAACCCGTTCTGAGGGAAAAGAATGAAGCTTGAAGCTCGTAAAGTGTGTTATGACCGCTTTTTATTGTGCGGTTTTCACTGTGAATAATAAATTTTGTGTACAAGTGCAAGTACAACCTTGGTAAAGGATGCATTCAAAGAATACGTCGCGTGTTTTTGTGGTAAAAGTTTTTTAGATGTTATCATTCCTAGGATGACCTTGGATGAGTACGATCAGATATCTGTATGTAAACTATACTTTTGTATATCGACAATGACTAAAGTACGACAAACAAAGCATGTGGCTAATGTCATTGGCCGCTGTCCGAAACCAAACCTACCCAAAACTAACATGGTATTAGTCATTCACATAAAAGTATTGGTATTTTTTTGACAAACACGCAGGAATGTATTGCAAAAAATACCGTTTTGGTGTTTGTATGTGTATGTATAACATGCAATTAAAACGTAAAGTCTTTCCAAGCTTTTTAATTTATGAAAGATTTTATTATTGTTTTAATTTGTATTGATATGAGTTTCTTTGTCTTTTTGCCTTTAAAACAAATCTATTACAAAAATTTAGGTTGTACCTTACGCAATGAAGTGCTATAAAATTTATAGCCGTCAGACACAGACATATGGTTCAAGCGAGAGCTAATGACATTTACAGTTCATTATAATGGGATCTTTATAATTAAAAGGACGTTGAATTAATAAAATAATTATATGCTGAGTAAACGGAATCATTGACTATGCAATCGGCGTCGTGTTGGTAGTTAGGAAGGAGTAGTAGGTAGTTTCGGGGGTATTGACTGGGACTGCTGTCACATTGTTGGTTATTCCCTGAAGTTGACAAAGGCTGTTGCCGCCTGTTGGCTGATACACGGGCACGTGGAATTGTGATGCAGCGCACGCATCGTTCAAGGCCAGTTATGTCTATAATGTTTTTTTACGCCGTGAAGTCACGGCTGCATACCTTATTCATCCCTTGTTTTATTAAATGTGAAAACAAAGAAATATCAACATTGGAACAACGGAATAAGGTATTTTATTTCAATAGTGATGCGTAAAACGTATAATTTAAAATAGGACTTCTTCTGTTAAAGAAATTTCTTTTTCATAAATATGGGTTTAGTTCGATTACGTATACAAGACTATTTGATTAATGATGCCCAAATATATATTCTGTCATTAACGCTTTGCTAATATTTAGGCAACAAAGAAGAAAATTATGATAAAACTTATACTTGTAAGAGATAGTTTGAAGTTATTAATTACAATATTTACTTTCTTAGGATAGTTCCTTAGAAATAACTGTGACATTAAGAGGTTCTATTAGTATACAAGCTCTTAATGCCACAGTTATTTTATTTATAAGTCTGTCTTATTAGCCGTCTGACAATGGGTGGTCAACCTTGTGACAAGAGATATTATCGTACACGCATTCTGTGAGATTAACAAGATCCGATCAAACAAATTATCAGGTTGGATATCCACGTGCAAATAGATGACTCAATGAAAACTTTACGTTAATAAAAATGTGCTTTAATAATACGTATCAAATTCTATTTTTCGATGACTTTATTTTTTTTATCGTTGACATCATAGAAAATCCATATCCAGAATTGTTACTATTAACGATGTTAACAAACTAACAAGATATTGGGAGTTACCAAGTTACGAGTATATTTGCATAGGCAAATCAACAGAGTGGCACAAAATAGATTTGTATTTTTTGTAGCATAAGTAAAGTATTTATTGAATATTTAAAAAAAAACAAACGATTTTTTGTGCCAGTCTGACTATCTATTTAGTTTATAGTTATCATGCACTTTTCAACATTACGCTCGGTACTTTGTTCGATGATTATTTTGAAAAAAAAAAAATCAAATTTAATTTATTTGGAATCGATTTATATGAAAAAGAAACAGATCATTTTTTTCATTTAATTCGGCATTTGGATCGAGAAAACACTTATTTTACCGAGTGTAATGTCTCTAACACCCATACAAACCATGAAAATAACAGGAGTCCATATCCACCGTGGATACGGCAGTTTGACGATGATGTGTACTTCCAGATGTACCTAGCTCAATACGGATACCTCAGTCCGTCAGTAAGGAACCCATCGAGTGGACATATTATGGACGAAAGTTCATGGAGGCGGGCAATCGCCGAGTTCCAGAGCTTCGCTGGCTTAAATGCGACAGGTAAATTATATTTGTATTTCTTAATACAATAGGTATAAATAAAACTTTGTGCAAAACACAAAAAATATTTTAAAAAAATCGACTTCAAAAACCTTAAAAGGTGAAAAATAAATCTCTAAAGAGGTCAACATAACCGAAAGCCAAATCGAAACGTAAAGGTATGTTTACTAATAACCTACACCAAATTCTCGCATTTTGTATTTACTTTCTTACTTTGCTTACTCAAATTTTAATGCTCAAAGAACCTCTAAATGGAAAATAGCATAAATTTATTGAACAAACCTATGAAATATGTCTGAAGACATCATTAATATCATTCTTGTATCTGGAGAGCTTACAAATAGTCAAATTTTATATAAATATCCACTGCGCCATTCACTGTTCTGATGTAATTTATAAATGTATATTTTTGACAAGAACCTTTAATTACTTGTCTCGATAAATCGATAAAGCAAACAAATTGATGAGTAATAAAAATATTTATTATCTTCATGTAACTATGTAGTGAATACAGTGGCGGAGCTAGTTAACCTAGGGCCCTGGGGCAAATAAAAAAATGGGGCTCACTGCTTGAAAAAAAATCTTGACACGAAGTTCACAATCGCGAATCACAAAAACGCATATCGATAAATAATAAAATACAGATATTGATATCCGACAAATTGATGAAAACATTAATAACACTGTCAACCCACACAAATAATTTAGGGGAATTCCCTTTTTATAACTTTGGAATTTCTTACAACTGAGTTGCCATAAACTCGAGTTGTCACCTGTCATATTTATTTTGAAAATGGGAGAAATTTTCAAAAGTTGAGTTCGATTGAGATTTTCTGATAAAGATTCGAGGGCCCCCTGAGCTTGAGGGCCCCGGGGCACTGCCCCGCCTAGCCCCTTCATAGCTACGCCACTGAGTGAATAATAATAATAAAGGACCCAGTCAAAATTTTGCCATGTAAAGTTCAGATCATACACTATTTTTATTTAAACAATAATCAAAACTAACAATATATTCTCTACTTTATTATTTAATTTAATGTGAAATTCATCAAACGACTAACCTTTAAAGGTTTTGTATTCGGTTTGGTTCATTACAAAAACACGATGACTTAGACGAATTAGAACGTTTATTATAAAACTACACTCACAAAAACCAACTAAAAGCCGGATGTTTCTCTATTTGTTATCGAATTGTCTTTTATTTCGAATTGTAAGCATGATGTATTTAAGTTATTCACAAGTTTATAGTGGAGTAGGTAAATAAATTCGCAAGTGGATGGAGTTGTATGATTGTTGTTCATTGAAATATAATGAGGGAGTATTTTAAGAAAAAAAAAGCACAAAACGACACCTAACTAGATGGTGACTCTAGCAAAAGTAGATTTTTGCAGAAAACTAATTATTGAAATGATTAATATAATATGTTAAAGACTTGTGACTGCGAGAAAACTTTCGCAAAGGTTAGATGAGATGGTTGATAAAAATGTATTATATAGTGGAGGTACGTTGTGCAGTTTTGATTCCGTTCAAAGAAAAGGCCTAAGTAGATACGCCAATAGTCTGATAATAATAATTGCAATGATGTATTCTTTATTTTAAAACCAAGTATTAAATTGGTAAATGTTTTAAAATCCTCTAGCTGAAGTATACAATAACATCATTTAATACATGAGATATTAGTATGAAATATATGCATCTTAGTATGTTTTGCAATAAACTTACGTGTATATTTCAATAATTTAAAAGGAAATAGAATTAGATGCGTATGTAATTATAGTCGTTAATAATAGTTAAGGTAACAAGATCGAGGAAATATGCAATTACATATAAGTATTATAGAATCCTTATATGTCATAGACGTAATAGTTTACGTTGATTGACTATGTTTATACTAAGCTCATGAAGGTTCTTTTAAAGAAAGCTTTTTTTATATTTTATTCCAATACCTATGTAATTAAAAAAAAACAAATATTTCTTTTTAATACTTTCACGTGCTCAACGTGTTAGACCAACTAAAGTATTACGTCTATGCTGTATTTTTTTTACAGTGACTTCATTTTTACCGTTATATTTTGAGTAATTCCTTCTATAAGTACACACATCAGCATATCAATGTAAATGTTACTGCGATCGATTTAGACTAATTTTTTAAGGGTTAAAATTTAACAGTTAAGGAACATATTTAAGTTTGCTGTTGTTTGCGGTTAATGGTACTTAAAATTGTGTAATGCACACAATCAGAAGCCTACGAAAGTGATCTAACTTCTATCAGTGTTGACTGCCACGATTTCATTAGATTATAAAACAATCGATCGATCTATTTGTAAAATAGAAGGAATTACTTCAAAACCGTCTTAATTTAGTTTATTGCAACGTTATTTTGTAAGTGGTATTGTTTTGTGAAGTCTTCAATTGCAAAATAGTCGTAATTGAGTTCCGTCGGCTGATTTTTTATTGGGAGTTAGAATTCTTGAAAATTAGCTAATTGTCTTTAACTGTTTTATAGAATTCTAATATCTTCTTTTTATTTTACCGCCAGTTGTAAATGAAAAATCAATTCAATCTACGGTCTTAAAGCATAACCTAAGGCTTTGCCTAAGGGGCTTTGTCTAATTGGCTGCGAATTTAGATTGATTAACACTTCATTTTAGCATAGTTTTTATTTGTTTGTAACACTATTCCTTACTCAAGAGTAATGTACAACAAAACGCTTTATAATTCGCGCATACTTCTGTACAGTACAATCAATCTTAAGCTATGTTTAAGCCATTCACATACATATAAATGGGTTAATACTAATGAGTGGTATTAAAGTCTTCTGTACAACGTATTATGACGTTTAGAAACGTGCGTCTGATTACAAGGGTTTACGTAATTTCCTCACATCCGCGGCGCCATGACCTTGTTCAGTCGTGAGCGCTAGGAGCCCTATCTGACCATTCATTATTCCTAATACTATAATTCTGAGACCCTGATGTGTCATGGTGGACCTAAATGATGAAATAGGATAGTTTTTATATAGAAAAAAGTTCAGATAAATAAAGTTATTTTAGTAAATGAGATGACGGTGTTTATTATGGTACGTACATATCTTAAAGCTTGGGCAAAAAGAGAAATTATATTTAGTCCGGCGATAGGATTATATAAAAATATTAGATAGCTATTTATTTGGTTCAATTTAATAAGAAATGGCTTAGATAATAGGAATTGAAATAGAGGAGCGTGGGCTCGCAACGTCGAAACTAGGTACGTAAATATTTACAAAAGTGCACGTTTCAACTTAATGTATCGCTGTAATTTATTGATTGTGTAAAAAATAAACAAATACTCGTTTAATATTCTTCAATACCTACCTGACGGATAGACAAATAAAAATTGGTCATCATGGCTATTTGTCATATTAAATCGATATCTAGATGCCTGATTTATAAGTTTAATTAGTGACGGTTACAGCAAACCGTTCTTGAATTGTTACTATTTCAGTTAAATAAGAATATAACTGTATTAACGTCGTCGATTTAAACGCTTATCTTAAGTCAATGTTTGTTGGCCCCCATGGCGAAGTAGCTGTAGCTCTCACGTCGGTTTCCTCTCTGATATTCCGGGTTCGATTCCCAGTTGAGTTCATGTAGAATAAAAAACATATTCTCAGGTTTGTGACTTTATTCTGGTATATTGTCTAATATTAATAAATTATATCTCATATTTTATGAGTGAATGTTTATATATAGCATATTCCCAGTTTCTTCCTTATAGAATTCCTGGGTAGTACACAATTATTCCTCACTGATTCAACTTCTAAATAGATAATAAGAAACGGTAGCAAACATAACACTATAACCTCATTAGCTACCATTGAATTAAAATATGAACAAAGATAATTTACCATAGCCTGTGGTTACCTGAATGATCAACTCTTAGTAACCGCATACGTGCCTCGACATTAGAAGTAGTTTATTGGTCCTGACACTAAAGCTATTATGTAAGCAAATAACGCAGACGGAACATCTAATACATAATTCAACATCGGTCAGTGCACGAGCTTCCATAGACTCGATTACGATGAAACATTCCTAATGATGGAATTAGCAGCGAAACATGACGCGTCAACGCATATGTACTACTACTCGTACGAATTAACAAATATAATAATCATTAAGGGATTTAATTCAGGTTTTTTAATGTTTCTATTGTGTTTCAATTATTAAAAAGGTACAAAATGGTAGGCCCCATTTATTGAGACAAATAAATAATTCTGAAAATTTATTTCAATGAATAGTTCAATACATCAATACAATTATTGTTGTATGCTTACGTTATAAATAAGCATACTACAATAATTTTTAAAAGATAAGCATTTTTTCGATAAATTAACAATTGGCGCTCTAGTGCTATCTCTTGAAAATTATTAATTGATGAAACAGTGACATTCTACTTTTAAATAGAGATTACAAATGACAAAACTGTAGTTGCCACTAACATAACATCAGTTAATATCAATCTAAGAATTAATGATAAACAAAAGCATTTGTAAAGAAAATGTTAGTTAGCCCTGCGTACTACTATAGTTCATTTTATTGTAGGGCATTACTCATGCCCTTATAGAGGAAAACTGAATGACACATAAATCGTGTTTACGTAACATTTCCATTAACGTAAATAGTAATTTTCCTTCAAAACAATAAAATTAAATATGGAAGTCATAACCATAGAGGGAGTCATAAAATAACATTTCATTGCTTTACTAATTAGAATCTAATTTGCTAACTTTTGAAAGAAAAGGTTACTTTTATTTGTTGCACGAAACAAATTCTAAATATTTCATTTTAAAACGTATAATAGACAACTCACCAGATATCGACATCGGCATCGAACTCAACGTCGAGTTCAGCCTAGTTGAAGTAGGTTTCATTTGATTGAATTTCTATGCTCTGACAACGCTGCACTGGTTGTCGTATTCGAGGCTGTTTATCTCTTTTTATTAAAAAATAGCACTGCTGTGGATTAATACTTGAATTTCAAAATCTATAAAGGTATACCAATTTATTGAATACCTTACCTAATACATTTGTGTTACCAATTTATTGAATTATGTAACGTTTAAAGTAGCTTTTGCAAAGAACGATGATTTGTATGATCGAGAAACATACTAAAAACTTTGCCATCGAAATATTGTAGTCAGCATCAGCATTCAATTCTACATTTGATATTTCTCAAAAGCGTTCAAGTATTTATCGCTTTGCATAATAATCTATATATATGGCAAATATTTGTAGCGTGAAGTTCATGAATATCTTTCGTATATCAAATTGAAAGTAATTGCGATAGATCTTTAAAATTAGACAATAAGACCCTTAGCAGTAAAATTCATTGAGTGCGATGCGTAGTATAAAAGGCATATATTGCTTGACAGCACTATTTTTAAGGAAAATTAAGTTTTCATTACAAAACTTGATATTTTTGCCCGATACTAATTCGATTTGCACTCATGATTTTTCGTGCTAAGGGCACAGGTAAATAATATGTCAATGTGCGTTGTTCCTGTTTGGACGTTTCCGCGTGCGGTTGTCGATGTGATTGTGTGATTACTTCCTTGTCATCTGACTAACAAAAACTTAATTTCAAACACCGGCAATCATCTTTTTTGGCAGTAAACGATGTTTTTAAGTAGTTTTTGTACAAATACAATGACCACGCTGACGTCACTATTTCTTCGTTAAAAATAAATTGTGAATGACGATTTAAAGTATTTATAATGACGATTTTATTTGGTTATACAGATTTTATTATCATTTCAATAAAGTCTACTCAGAGATGTTTTTATTCTTTGTTTTTTTTTAATTACCTTAAGAAATAAAGTTTAACATAAAATTACTATTAACACATTGGTTAATTTATACAATATACGGGCCCTTCATATATAGTTTAAGTATTTTCTATGCCGAATGTCTAACTTACACAGTTTCACATATAAACTTCGTATAATACATTTGTAGAAGAGATGTCTTCGATAGAACAAGAATTAACTCTAAAATTTCGATATTTTGTTTTTCAGGTGAAATAGACAAAGAGACTGCTGAAACTATGTCACTGCCCAGGTGTGGTGTCCGAGATAAAGTGGGCTTCGGGGAGAGCCGTGCCAAAAGATACGCGTTACAAGGTAAGCCAAGACATGTGAAGATTTGGGTTAATTTCATGTAAAAACGAGGTGTTACCTTCGATAATTTATATGTAGTTTCAAACAGAAAAGTAAAAGATTTTATTTTTCTTCTTAAACATCACTGAATAGAAAAAGTTTAATTACAAATTGTAAAATTTCTGTAACACGAAGGGCATTAATAATAGTCTACTTTAGCAATGAAATATGAGAACATTATGTCCTTGGCTTATGAATATAGTTATCAAGAGGGATCTGAAAGAACTGACCTTGTAATAAACAAACATTTTCCAGTGCACGGACATTTATTTACCTAATTTTGCTGTGTCATACTACATGCTATTTAAAAAGGTCCTACTATAAACCATTATTTTGTTATACGAGTCAGTTTTAAAAGTATTGTAGATACAAATTAATAATATATTCTCATATTAACTTACCAAGAAGGTTCAACCTCTAAGTTACTATGTCTTTAATAAATAGAGACGTAAAAACTTGAAGGTAGTTTTTAGAAAAGTAAGATTTTCCAAACTTTGGTAGCTGATATTTCGTTGAAATTTGTGAATGGATAAAAAATAGTGTTACTGAAATTCAAATTCTTTCAGGTTCAAGATGGCGTGTAAAGAATCTGACTTACAAGATCTCTAAGTATCCGAGTAAGCTGAATCATGCTGAAGTGGACGCCGAGTTAGCGAAAGCATTTTCAGTTTGGTCAGACTACACAGATCTAACCTTCACACAGAAGAGAGCCGGACAAGTTCACATTGAGATAAGGTAACTATTTCATGCTATTCTGAGAACTGAAATCTAGGATTACATACTTTATATATGTATACTTATAAAAGTAGCTCGGTGGCGTAGAGGATAAGCGTCGCGGCCCCGCGATCGTTGTTGTTAAGCAACTTTCGCAAGGGTCGGTCTCGGGATGGGTGACCAAAAAATTATTATCTCGAGCTACTTCGTGCCTCGGAAGGCACGTTTAATCGTTGGTCTCGGCTGCATTTGTAGTTGTTAATACCCTCCAATCCGCATTGGGTAAGCGTGGAGGGTCATGGCCCATCCTCCTTTACTATCCATAAAGAAGGCCTGAGCCCCCTGTAATGGGGACGTAAAAAGGCTGATAATGATGATGATGAAATGTATATAAAAAGGAGGTAAGTAATGCCTCTCTGAATCTGTGTTTAGGTCAATATACAAAACGATTATTTACATATTGAGTGCAGATATTCAAATCAGAGAGTACACACGGCAATAATTGTGCGGTAGCATTTGAATAGGTAATAATACGTTTACGGTCACAATTCCCCGGCAATCTGTGTTGCGTAACGAACACAAAATGGTTGTCATTTGGAACGGTAATACCTTGCCTACATCAACAATTACATGAGCATATGTAATGTTACGTTGTAACAGAGATGATCCTTGAGTAACATCTGAATGATTGCTGTCACAGAACCACTTCAGCATCCTTAACTTAACGTTCGGAGAATGAGATTATTTTTCAATTCTATAATATAAAAAGAATTCAATAATATCTCAAATTACATCGTAATAGTTTTTGATTGCTAGCAAGCACTACTGAGTGATAAGGCTAAGAATTCACGAAATTTCGTCCTGGTCGTTCCCGTATGACCATGGCAATAGAACTGCGATATATCTATGTGCAGTAGTAAACAGTGTTGCTTGTTGAGCGATTTCTGTTGCATCATTAACATTGGGTTTGTGTTTATAGAGCCGATTTGTTGTGATTAATTTTCAGCCCCGACTGAATTTACTACTGGAATTTACAATTGTTATGGCTCCGCCTAATATAAAAAATCAAACATCTAATATTTCGATCGAATAAAACAATAGATGCAAACCATTTTTTGACTAGATATATAAAATGTGTTTGTGACAAATGGAAATTGCATCGTCACTTGTCAAATAACCTTGTTTATATCATTTCAAATATATATTTGTGAATAATTATTTCAGATTTGAGAAGGGAGAACACGGTGATGGAGATCCATTTGATGGGCCTGGTGGCACCCTGGCTCATGCATACTTCCCTGTAAGTCCTCAAGCTACTGCTGCTTATTGTAATACTTATTCGATAATTATTTGGGTTAAAGTAGGTCGATTAGAGTTTGAAAAATGTTGGAAACATTTGAATAAGTGAGGAGTAAATTTTTCATATAAAATCAAAGTGACAAATGCTTGTTTGCTTCTATCTATCTTTAATATATAATCCATTCATAAAATTAAATTAGCTGTTTTCTCGAGATTTCCCGCCCACGTAAATAGCCTATCTTACCCGAGTATGTAACTTCCCGTAAGTGAAAAAATGTTTAAAGTTAATATTGTAGTTTTGGAGCCTATACAATACAAACAAACCAAAGTTCAAACTTTTCCTGTTTATAATCCCAGTATAGAAACACTCGTGTAAATTTAAACGCATCATTTTAATTTTGTATATGAAGAAAATTTTTGTTTTGAAAAGTCAAAACAAAAATCTTATCAATGGTTTTATATTATAGTTATTCGAACATTGAGATAATTGTATAAACGGAAATATCATATTAGGTAAACAAAACAGTGAAAGTGTTATAAAGTTAATATGGTGTAGTGCAAAATAACGCAATTCTATTGTAAATGTATTTATACATTAAAATTTGTCAACGTTTTGTGAAATTAGTTACAAAATTATTGCAAATATCCTGTTGTGTTTGTGTGACAAAAATGGAATATTTTATTTAGGTTTATGGCGGTGATGCTCACTTCGACGATGCTGAAATGTGGACGATCAACTCCCGACGTGGTACAAACCTTTTCCAGGTGGGATATATTCTATTTTTCTACGTTTACAATTTTTTTGGAATATAGACACCTAGACTGCAATGATATCGTAATAATGGCATCTAAAAAGTGCAATATTCTATTTTATTATCGACCGGAGCTTAATATTACTAGTTTATTAGTACGCTAGCGTATCGATAAATCAATGAGAACATGATTCTGTTATTTTCCAAAAAGTCCTGTTATTAAAAGATCAATGACACCCCATTCTAACGTTAATATTGACGAAAACTCTAAATAACGTGGTAATTCGATCAAAATAAATTATAGTTGAATAGTTTTTGGGTTTACGATAAAACAATGATATAAATTTCAGGTAGCGGCTCATGAGTTTGGACATTCACTGGGACTATCCCACAGTGATGTACGTTCAGCCCTGATGGCACCGTTCTACAGAGGTTATGACCCAGCCTTCCAGCTTGACCAAGACGATATTCAGGGTATTCAGGTAAAGTAACTTTTCTTGAGTCCTTTAGTTCTTCACGATAAATTTTATTACAATTGGTCCTATAATGATCCTGGGATGGATAGAAATGTTTTTGGAAAAGCGAAAGTTAAACGGAAGTAAAGATTTAAGGTTAGAGAAAATAACCAACTTTTTTATTTATTTATTTAAAGAATTATTCGACTCGATATTAAATGACAGTTTTGAATTTGTTCCAATGATATTGCTTACTAAATTTACTTTATTCGTGATAAAAAATAAGATAGATTATTATCGGAACATATTCATTTGAGAGTAACATATTCGAACAATTTTTAATAATAATATATACAAATATTTCATTTCAAAAGACAAACAATGAATAGAGCAAGCCATAAGTGGAGTAAGAAAGATATAGATCTAAAAGACATGGATTTAATTGTTGTAGGCTTTATATGGGCATAAGACTCAGACAGACATCGGCGGAGGCATCGCCCCTGGAGTTCCAGTACCGCCTCGTGTCACCACCCCGCAGCCTTCAGCAGAAGACCCTGCTCTCTGTGCCGACTCGAAGTTTGACACTATCTTCAACTCTGCGGATGGTGGCACATTTATTTTCAAGGGTGAGAAATATCAACGTTAATAAAAATTCATCTAAATTTCCATTTGATTAGATGATGTTTATTAAAGTAGAAGTAGTAGTTTTTCCAATATAAGTAATTCCGTTAAAACATATAAATACGTAATAAAAATGGAGATCTTTAATTCAAAATTGTTTATATAACATCAAAAAACTTATAAGATTAAGAACTTACTTTCTATTTACTTACAAAATACTTATTACTATACTTTTCCCTAAGGATATTTAGATAAAACCGATTGAGTTCATTAAATTTATGAACAATCATAATGTGGCTCAAACTTTTGAATCAAAAAGATTTTTCAGCAAATTAACATTCAATAATGAACGTCTAATTTTTTCCAGGTGAACACTATTGGCGATTGACTGAGGATGGCGTAGCTGCCGGTTATCCACGATTGATCTCACGCGCATGGCCCGGACTACCTGGAAACATTGATGCTGCTTTTACTTACAAGAATGGCAAGACCTACTTCTTTAAAGGTTCTAAGTACTGGAGGTACAATGGACAAAAGGTCGATGGAGAGTATCCTAAAGAAATCAGTGAAGGTGCGTTTTCTTTCAAGTGCAGAAACACTACTACCATTTGTTTTTTAAGATTCTATATATCTTTATTTTTGTACTGGTTTATTTTCATGATTCAAAACTATATTACAGGTTTTACTGGTATTCCCGATAATCTTGACGCTGCTTTGGTTTGGTCTGGCAATGGCAAGATATACTTTTACAAGGGTTCAAAATTCTGGAGGTTCGATCCTGCCCAGCGCCCGCCAGTCAAATCCACCTACCCCAAGCCGTTGTCTAATTGGGAAGGCATTCCTGATGGCATCGATGCTGCACTGCAGTATACCAACGGATACACTTACTTCTTCAAGGGTGGTCAATACTGGCGGTTTAATGACAGAACTTTCAGCGTAAGTGGATGCATCAATTAAATTACTTACGCAAAACTTTTAATATTCAACCGCTTATTATCCTAGGTGCGTAAATCACCATACAAGAGATTGTTGGGTGCTAACGAGTAAAGTACCGAAAGACTTGCGATAGTCTGATGATTTAGTTAACCCTAAATCTGATGATTGGTCTTTGTGAGAATTACTTAACTTCCGCAATCACTGTCAAACGGCAGCATCAATTTACTGTTATTATAAAAGTGTTATTTGGGTGTAGCATTCATTAGCAATAAATAGAGTTTATCATCAAGGTTACCCAAAATCCTTTTTGAACTTATTTGAGTATGTATTATGTAATTCATGTTTTGTAATACAGGTGGATTCTGACAACCCTGCATTCCCGCGATCCACGGCATACTGGTGGCTGGGATGTAGCACCGCGCCTAAGGGTACAATAGGAGGTAACCAACGCCTCACGCACATACCCTTAGAGGACGACGTCGGAGACATACTCTTCGACGCAGGTAGGTTCAGGGCCCAGGTCGCGTGTACAAGATGACAGTTGGGTCTAATGCAATGTCGTATTTGGAGATATTGATTTATGGATTTCAATGAGTTTTAGACTGTTAACGTAGAGGTAATTCTATTTACAAATTCATGCAGAATATATTAACCAAATTGTTTTCTTTTAATCCTTAAAAATTTAAGCATTTCGTTAGACTCAAAGATTTATAAGAATCATCTTGATTTAGTAAAGTTCAAAAACTATTAGGATCTACCGCCTCCACTGTTAAATGTTATCTGTTATGTCTCTTCTTCATATATGTGAATGTTTGTTACTTTATTGTTTCTTCATTGTTATCTATTAGCAGAATATGTAAATCTCTTTTAATTCTATATGACTTTGTCCTTTCCAGACACTTTTGTTATCATGTGATCATTTCTATTCTTGTTATCATACGTTTGCGTTCATATGATTTCTATAAACTTCTTAACATACGGTCAACTTCATCAGTAACTTTATCAATTCAACTCTCAAGTGGTACTAACCTAATATAATTACTAACAGTTACTAAATATCTTTATTCTAATTTATTGTAGTAATATTAACATTACTAATTATTTAATCTACTAATTTGGTGAGGTATTGAGGTTTAACTAAAATTAATTAAGTCAATATTTCATGACAGTATATAACACGTTTGGATTTCCAGTCTTAAAGTACTTGTAAGTTATTTTCAGTTGTTTGAAGTGGCTGAATATAATGCGTGGAGATATTCCTCATCCTGAATTGGGATAAATAAAAATTAAAAAAAAAACATGGCCATATGGGCACAGCTGATCAAATTAATAATCTTTTGTAGCACATTTTTTTTTTAAATTAGCCTTTCACCTTTGTTTCTGTCAAAATATGAGAAAGACAAATCTTCATGACATGAACTCACTGTGTTTTCACATTGTTAATATAATTTTCATTGTGTTAATATGACTTATGGTAACTTTAAAATTAGTTGTTTTAGTTTATTCGACTAATAAACGTGTTTTATTCTGACTGCGATTACTAATTTTAGTTGAGTAGCTCTAATATTGCTATTGGTGGTAGAAGAGCAGTGGTAGACGGTGATCGTCTGAATGGGGACGATGCGACTTCTGGGCACCAAGAACCTGCCTGAATTGCAGTGGTAAAAATTGTAGTTAATGAAAAAACGAATCACTAAGAAACGTGAAAATACTACAAATTTTAAGCACTGCTAAAATAACAATTACATATGTTCTGTTTAAAATTATAAAAGTTCTATTAACTTAATCAAAAAAATGAAAACCACAATTACTTTTTATTTGTTTATAAAAACCACTTGTGAATAGCGGCACTTTGTTTAGTCACTTGCACTGATGTCGTGTTTTTAATTTCAATGTTTAGTGTGTTTAATATGAGGCGTCTTTGAAAGCGATGTTGGTCGAAATCGATATAAAATACAGTTCAAAAATTAAACTAGATTTTAGCTGTGATCATTTTCAATGAGCAAACAGTAATTAAATTAATTTCGATCCAAGGCCAACATTGGTGTAATCCTAGAAAGACGCCGAATCACGTTGACTCAAAAGTTACTGATGTCCGATAAATATTACACTTGTGTTTCGTCTCACTCACCAAAAAATGTGTGTTTTCGTTGATTGTTACGAATAAAGGTGCCTGGGACATAATCACGTTTCGATATCCGCTTTGTGTTTTTTTCTAGGTGTAAAATCATCCGCTCCCAGATCATTCTTCTGGTTCAGGAAATAACCTCGGTGGAGTGTTCCTGAACATTGTATATAGAGAAATTGCATAAAGAACAAAGACTCAATTAGTAAATAGGAGAATATATGCGAATACCAGTGAGATTATAGACATAAGCGGTGATTTTAGTACCGGCGGGCTTATCACACGCTGCGTGTACGTTTTACTTCTATTTCACTTTTGCATGCTTGCTTATGCTTTTGGGATCTTATGCATGTGTATCTCTCACGCGGTCGCTTGCAAGATTGCACTATGCTTCTTAGTTCTAGTTTTTATTGTATGTAGTTTATTCTCCATTATTATTACACCATAGTCTAAATTTCATTCATCATCTTCTTCAAAATAAGCAGTTTCTTCTTTTCTATTAATTTATTAGCAGCTCCAACTTGTTTAGGGCCCAGTAGTATCAACACTATGTAAACAGGACAGAAAGGTAACAAGAAATGGGTTATGGTGCGCAAATTTGAGTCAGTTTTTAGTTTGAAAGCACTAAGGTTCGGGGATATTAGTTCACAAAATATAAAACTATTATTTGACGTAGTATCGATTTTCTAGATCTGAAGCATAAGATCAAGGTATTCCTGTTGAATTTATAAGCCGAATCAAGAAGCAGCTATTTCAACATGTAAGAGACTTTTGCGTTCTGATCTATGGATGACGCACGTTCACGTTTTTTGAGTGGACACTATTTTACGCCATTCTAATAATAATGGATATTGAATAATGGCACCATGAACAAAAATCATTATTGCATATTTGCTATATGTGTGTAACTAACATTGATTGAAGCATGAATTCTAATAATTTAGATAGGTAAAGTTTGTGTTTATAAATAATCATATATATCAAAAGATACGTTAGTTTGGTTACGATAATAGATTACAATTTTATGTTATTGTAACAATAGAAAAAATGCTAATGATGGAGTAGCAAATGCATGTAAATAGGCTCGTTAATGGTACAATAGTTTGGAATTTTGTGATGTAGTTAGCAAAGGAGTTTGGTTGTGGTTGATTAAAAGATTATTCCTAAAGGAAATGAATGTTTCAGTGATCAGCGTACAGTCAGGCGGGGCTAGACTGTAATATGTTGATCTTGGCTCCATCCCGCCACAAATTTAGGAGGTCGCAGTGACCTCCGCTGCTCCACCAATCACCCGCATCTGTAGGTTTTATTTTCATTTCGTTTCGAATTTTCATTTTTATTTTTCAAAAGATTTCTTTTGTTCTATTAATAACGCTTGCTTAACGTTTCGTCACTTTTCATCATAGTGTGTCGAAAATCATTACGTGTTGAATGTTTACCACTGTTGATTTTAATATTTTGTTCAAATTGTCCACATATGTACTGTGATTCACCGTACTTGTAACTTGATAATGCACTTTGCACTGTCGTCACTCGTCGCGCTAACGATGATGTGGCGTTAAATTAAACATTGTGATCCGCAGATGATGGCGATAATTCGGGTGGTAAAGGCGGTAGCCGTGCTGCGAAAGGTACTCAGACGTCACTTGCGCTTGCACTGGTGGCCGTGACGATAGCGCGATGGACAGTACGCGCCTAGCGACTGACACGACATGTCTGCGCCCCCGCTCTGGGACCTCCCTAGACCCGCTCTGGGACCTCCCTAGACCCGCTCTGGGACTGCCCTGGACCCTTTCTGGGACCGACCTGGACCCGATCTGGGTCCACCTTGGACCACCCCCGTGCCGCCCCGCCCGCATCACCGACTGTGATCGTATGTTGAGTGCCTGTTCGCGTTCGGTATATTGTGTATAGCGAACGCTCTGCTGTGATGACGAATGCGTCCTTTTTATACTATTGCAAGAACGATAATTTAATTCGAAGTCATAGTTTTTATACTTAATATAAATAGATGATGTAAGTTCGAGTGTGATATTGACGTAAGCGAAGATTTTTTTGTATTAAAATATTTAAATAGAAAACATTTGTGTTTGTATTTTCAATTTCACATATTCTAAAGGGATATAATGTGGACGAATAAAGAAAGAGACTTTTGTATTTTAATCGGTTTATTTAACGTTTTTCTGGTTCTCCAATAATTCTTCTTAAGTTAGTAATTACAAGTTTATATGACAATATTTTTCGTTTTTATTCCATTTTCATAAACGTATTTTTTTAATAAACATTTCCACAATTCATCATAACACGGTCGTGCGACCTACTGTCTCAATCGTTCTAACTCTTAGGAAAATGCAAATAATATTAAATTTCAAAACCTGTCTACGATTATTCGAACGTGATTAATCTTATTTCGAGTGTCGAACGATGTCTACATACAAAGTGGAACGGGCGCGGCTACGGGCGTGCTACGCCGCCCCTACGCCGTAGGCCGGTGTAGCAGGCTACAAAGCAAGGGGGTGTTTACATCTACAGCCGCGTAAATTGCCGCATCCAAGTCCAGGTGAAGTTTGACGACAGCCGGTATTTTATCCGGCTGCAGATGCGGATGCCGCGCACGCGTCTCTCACCGCATTCTAACAGATTTTAATCTTTTTAAGGCGTAACATAAGACTTATTACACGATCACTACTCGAGAAACACCTACAACACATCCTAGATCATATCAATATATCTCAACCCCGCGTACTGTGGCAGTGTACGTCGGCGCCGCACAACGCCGCCGACATTTACTTATCGCTTTAATTTACAGATTTATACTACTCTACCCCTCTTATTATGAAATAGGCAACTTTAATGATATTATTTATAGCATATTTATTAATTATGTCCCGTGAAATTCCGTGGACGAATCGACGACATCTGTATTTTTTCATACAATTACTATGAAGTGCAATGTATTCGATAAAAAGATTTGTAAATAAAAGACTTTGGATGCCAAGGCCTCTAAAGTCTCCGCAATCATATATTTATATGATCTAGAACTTATTAGGAATAATGGGATTGATGCGATGTTGAAATAACATCCCTCTATAAAAATGTGTCAGCCACGCCAATCTTACTGGAGATCAAAGTAGAAATGAACTAGAATAGATCGCGTATTTCGAAAAACAAACGACTACCGCCCGATCCTGGACCAACAAAATACTACCAAATTAATACAAAACATTCACATTTAAATGGAAACGACACTAATTACATATATCATATTAATACTAATTTATGAACAGTCATGCAAAGTAAAGAGACGGTCGCCGAAATTAGAAACCTTCGATATTTAGCTAAGCGACTTTCGATTTTTATAATATTATTACCGGATAATGTAAAAATTATAACCGATAATCATAATCGTTTAAGCGGTGATCCATAAATAATATTTGCCAGTTATTAAATGTTATAAAAATTTGATAATATCTACAAATTTTTACAGGGAGCCTAGCTAAACAGAGAATTTTTCTAAGCAACAGTAAAATCATCATTTTCAAATGAATCGTTTCAACTTAAGCTAACGTCAATTACAACAATCCAAACATTCATACATATAAAATAATCGGTAATCGTAAAAGGCAGCGCACTTTATTCCGAATAAGGTGAATTTTCATATATTAAAATTATAAACCGTGCGTTTAGAATATCGAAATAGAAAATAAATCGAATCACATATCGAGTCAAATATTTTTATGTATAGGTAGGACGAACGACCCGGCTTTGATCAATTTAGATTATGACCTGATTTTGGCCGTTTTAAGAATTGCTAGGGAGTGAACGTTGCTACATTATAGCTGTCAATCTATCAAAATTAATTTTGCCATAATACATTTTTCTTTAAAAGTGCACAGTAAAATAATATAAATGTTCTTGCGTTAAAAAGACCGTTTTTAAGCGCCAAGCGGCCAAGAACGGTCAGTGGCCAAAACCGTGTCTTCTATCCAATTAAAATTATACTTGTGCGCTACCTATCGCTATGAATGTATGGGAGAGTCTGAAGGAAATTACTATCACCCACTTAATCGTATGTGTTGGTATTTTTATAACGTATCAAGTATACCTAGGTATTAATAACTTTGATTCATCATAAGACTTTTTTTGCATATCAATTGTATCTTATGTCACTAACACCTTCGTCTAATTAATGAAAAATTGAAGGCCATGGTACTATTGTATAATTTCTCTCACTCGGACCACGTCAATCTTAGTACGTGCACACTTAAGTACAGTTTTATTTGTTAAAAAGTGGATTTAAATAAGTAATTTAAGCTTGATTAATAGACTAAATATTGGAAACAGTAAAAAAAAACGTATCAGTTAAGTGAAACGTCAGGTCCCAGTTTTCATAAAGTCCCAAGTAAAACGTATCTACATAAGGTTAAAAAGACACGGTTAATGTGTAATGGTACATTAAGCCTTACCTTTACCATAGATTACACAATTAAACTGTTATATTTAGACGTTATTTTTAGTAAATGAGTTATCAATGAAAAGGTCTAAAGAATCACCCGTCATTAATGTTCCGTGTGTGGCGCTACAACCTTTGTGTATGAATAAAAACATACAGGGTAATTGTAAAATACCGACAATCTCGTACGATTAGATAGCTTACATTATTACCAACCATTGTTCTATCACTCTTGATAATTCGTTACATTTTGCTTCTATACAAATAAAAAAACTTTATTTAATTTACAACTCGGATGTTAATAACTATACGCTTATATATTTAATATTTTATACTGAAATATTTTGTTTCTTCTGACTTTATTATTAGATATCCCCATTAATATGTTTGTGACAGTAATTTTTTTTTCATGTATTCCTATAATTTGCTCGTTCATTCTAGATAAAAATTGATGATTCGCCTATTCCTGGGTTATTTATGTGACCAAGCTTTGACCCTTTTCATACTGCTACACACAGATATATCATTATGTATTCTGTTTTTCATTTATTTATTATTATATAATTTTGTTGACGTAGGTACGTCTTATTTATTATTAAACATTATTCAAAACTATACATAATTAGGTAATTGTGTATAGTTTTGAATAACGTTTTATCTATCTTTCTAAGTAGGTAGGTATTACCAAAACCAGCGCAAGCGTAGCGTTATAAAATATAAAACTATGAATGTTACAGCAGTACAATAAACATTTGAAAATACTTCCACTGTTGATTATAATGTTAGCTATCTGTTATAGTCTTGTGAGGTTGCAAGTATTTTACAAATAGTGACCCTATATATAAACCGAGAACCGGAAACCGAGTTATAACCCTTAATTTATCTCCAATCCGGATTGGTGTATAAAACTGAATGTGAGTATCGATTAGAACTGGGCCGATAATTATCATTTTATTGTTTTCTACAATAAAATATTTAGGTACTGGTAATTTTTTTTCGTCTTATATTGATTTAAATTTCCACAGTACAATGAAAGAAATAAAATAAATACATAAAAATGTACTTAGTGTGCGCTTATTACGAACCATAATTCTATAAACCCGTTCAAACGGCAAAATGAAAAATACTGAATGCAGCCCATTCATTGAAATGCTAAAAATCGTATTCGGTCTTACTATGATAATTAATTTACACAATTCAGTAAGTCATTTTATTGTAATAAGCATAGATCAATTAATTCTTATGTTATTGGCTTCATTGTTTTCGTTGTAATAAGAATTGGAAAGACGTATAGTAAATTCAAAATATTAATAACTTTAATTAGGTACATGAGTTTGACAGCAGACATTAATATTTTTGTTGCTAAACAATATCCAGTAAAATTAGTATAGTTTATGATTTTTTGAGAGTAGTAATAGTTTTTATTAAACATCCGGTTAATTATTTAGTAAGGCCGTATACGCACCAAATAAAATTTTGAATATAACATACTGTACAAACTATATACGTCAATATGATCGTGGACACTTAATGTTTGTTTTATTTTATTATTAATATGTTTGTTTTGTTTGTTGAAGGCTATTATTTGGTGTTTCTCTTACATATTATTATACTATATTGATTAGATCTGTAAACACAATGTCTCGATATTCTGACACCATCAATATCGGACGACGATACTGAAAACAAATTGTCTGCTTGTTTGTGCGTGCGTGTGACAGTGAACCGATTCGTTGCGTAAACCTAACGTGAACCACTTAAACGTACCAAACGGTTAAACCTATTTAATTTCATTTGAGAATTTACAATGAAATGGACATCGTGAGTGTGCTGCCACGTAGAAAAATGAATTTAGGTTCGTACATTGTTATCATTAAAATGAATAACGATAAAACAACGAGAAGTGAACGATGTTGTTGGCAGCATATGGAGCACTGAAGACTTCTAATTTTTCGTATTCCTAATAGATTACTTCTCAGTTACAGTTTACAGCTAATACATAAGTTTCGTACACTGCTTTACATAATCAGCTTCTCTTCATATTATTTGTGCGTTAAACATTTACACTTTTATTTATGTACATCAAAACATACGTATATTATTCAAAAACATAATGTACACACTATCACCAAACACTCAACGAAACATTAAAATATACCCGTGAATCTAACCTAAGGAGTATGGCACGAGATGAGCGACCTGCGCTCGCGCCGCCCGCGCCGTCCCACTGCCGCTGCCGCTGCCGGTGTGCCGCTACTGAACTCCACCCATGGATCATTGTGATTCTACGTGATTAATCAGTTATTTACTACGATTTATTGCTAAACTTGTGTCCCTACGAAATCGACCTCACAAACGAACCGTTAGTGATGTGATTGAAACTCGACGCAGCTTTTCTTTCTTTTTTATTTAATTTCTTTACATCTAATTGTAATGGCATCAAATCTCTCTTGGGTACTTACAGGTAGATACAACTGAAGCGTTGACTTATGCATTACGATGCATCCTGTTTATGATTTTTTTTTTATTATATCGAACGGACGACCCTAAATGAAATGTCAATGTATAAACAACATTCGAACCGAACTCCTCTCCTTTGGTCTTTTAATATCTACTCTAGAATAGAACAGTGAACGAGTGAAGATACCAAGAATGTAGAGTAGAGACATTCACAAAGAAGATGCACGGTCAATGTGTAAGTTTTAACGAGTGCTCGAAATTGTTCCAATTAATTATGTTCTAGTAATTCTTTCTCTATTACTAAATTTTAGACACCTTGATAATTAATTTATTTATACATAGATACACGAAGATATTGTGAAGAAAGCCCTGCAATGCGGGCGATGAAGTATTCATTACTACTACACTGCGTTTGATTGATATCTATTTTTTAAGTTTCCGAAATTAATTTGTTTCGATACTCCACTTACGTAATCTAATTTAGTTGCTTATATTAGATCCAAAAACCTAGAGCCCCGAGGAACCGACGAAAGTAACGTTCAAGAATCTCAATTATTTGTTATATATATATATTTTTTTTATTGATCTCGATCCGATCATATTAGGCGATCGTTCTGAACTGTTATTATTTATTCGAATCCTAACACCTACCATAAATTCTCTTGAAGAGCAATATCACTATGATTCGAATTATACTCAGAGATTAAAATTACTATTGAAAATTTCCATACAGCCTGGTGAAAAATTTAAAATTATGCCATTCCTTTATTATTTAAACGCTGCATCGGATGGTGCAATGTAGTGTATTACAGTAGGCCATTTATGTTCACGTTTACGTAATAATAGCATCTGAATAGAATCTTAACTACTCAGATTTTGTCATTATAATATCTACCTGAAGTACAATAATTATTTAGTGCTATATCACAAACCAATGGTGATAGAAATATAATAATTTTGGACTTCAGATAAATAATTGAATAGCAAAATGCAAGTAGTTTACATTAAATTAAGATGCGGTTATTACGTAATAATTAACAGAATTGGACTACGGGTGTTTATTGTACGATTAATATCCGTGCGACGCTTTCACTTGGAGATAAGTGGAGGCACTAGGGATCACGAGCGAATTAGATATTCGATTGAAACAATAACGACCCACTGGGGCTCTATTTTTGAATCATTCGTCTCGCGTCGAGCGCTCGTTTTCTACTGATTTTCGTTCGACTTAACAAATTCGCCATTTCTAAATCGCTCGACTGCAACGAGTGGTATGAACCACTCGTCGCTTAGCGAACGTTGTATGCGAGTGATAGAAGAAAACGAGCGCTCGACGCGAGACGAATGATTCAAAAATAGAGCCCCTGATCTCTTGTCACTACACTGATCAACGCTATTATTAAAATACCTAGTCTACAAAAGTTGTTGAAGTGGAACGTCCATTTGAAAATACTAAGAAAATAGATGTTTAGGTTCTGTAAGCACAATAAGGTAATTATATCGAGTGATATGATGGCCGGGACACCGCTGCGAAGTGTACCCTGTGTCGAGGGGAGCGGAGACCACCGCACACCCATCCATCACGCAGACAGACCAACAGACAGGTAGATGTCCGTCACGAACCAAACTCCTAAGAAGCAGTAATAGACCATTAGCACCTTCGGTGACTTTTAAGTATGGGAGTGGATACAACAAACCGCTTTGACATATGTACACGATAAAAACGTAAAAAATAACTTACTTAATATTATTATCATTTATCATTTGAATACAACAACTACATCCCCGCCCGAGGACAATATTTATAACAAATGTCCTTTCAATAAAGTCTTAATAACCACTATATCTGATTTCGATCACATAATGTTCAACGATATCTCTATAATTTAATACTTTTTTTTTTAAATCAGAATAAACATATTAATATCGTCGCCTACACATATGTGAACGACTATAACCATGTTTTAGGTTGCGTCATTATCATATACTCGACACGATATACATATACAATAATATATATATAATAAAAATCAATTCATATAAAAATCATTTTCAACCATATTACAACTGCATAATGTTGAAAGTTCATAAGACGGATATTTACATATAATTTTCATTATATGCATTAGTCATATTTTATTTCTTACAAAACAACAACTACTTTTAATTAATCCTAAGTTACGTTAGTCAATATAATGTATAGAACAATTACTAATTAGGCTTTCGTATTCGGGCGGCTGATAAAAGCGAGAACGGAGCTAGAACTATATATATTCTATTTACACAAACTGTGTTATTCGATTTGTCACTGTGTTTAACACAACAATTAGATTGGCACCGTAAATTGAATTCTAAGGTACAATTGTCAAATGTTGGAATGTTCTTGTTCCGTTTTCGCCCTTTCTTACCTTCACCGATCTATTAATGCAATAATACAAAAATAAATCTCTAGAAACTGATTCCAATAATAACTTGTTCTTCACAGAAACAGAACAGAGACTTTAATACTTCATGTCAGTTACGTATTTGAGGACGACCTGAAGTAGGTATAGTTATTTTTAACTTTCCAATAGGTAGAGATATTGTGGGATCCATTTAAATTATACATAAATAAACAACGGAGAGACGCCTGTCTGACACAAAGTTCAACGTAAGGTTTGTTCTATGGTTATCGATATAATTTCGTGGAAAATATTCTCTATTTAAAATACTAGACTAGTACGTACAAAAAGATCAAAATCGGTAACAAACACAAATAACAATAGAATACAATAAAAAAATATAAGTTTCAACAAACGTAAAATTTGTGATTTGTTTACAATATTTGTGTTCAAAATATTAATAATATATTGGCCGGATCATCGGCGGCTATCAGCGCATATAAAATAAAATGCACAAGTTTCTTGTTCAGAGCATTTGGTGTTTTTTTTAATCTCGGGTCAAACTATCTGCCACAAAATACCTTACAGTCTATAACGCCGTCGCGCTCGCGGGGACGGCGGCTCGCCAGCCGGCGCCGCGAGACACGCGTATCATCGAACTCGTAATCGCGCGTAATTTATTATCATAAGTACAGCACTAATAGAGGTTCCGATCGCAGTCCGACGATCGAGGGACGTGGCGGTGCGACGCACGTTAACGTAAAACTATAACCTCGAGTCGCGCACATTCACTAGAGGCGTGCGAAGCGTCCAATGGGTCCGTGCGAGCGCGGCTAGGAGCAGCGCAAGGAAGAGGAGAGCAGTGCGGGGTGGGGGCACATTAGTAGCCGATGCCGGTGCCTGGTATGGCACCGAACATGATGGCACACGTTCTTCCACTGGCGTGCACCGTTCAGCCTCTGGCCTCGGCTGCTCGCTTAACCGTGCCTCGCATCGATAGCACAGCCGTCCCTCGCAGTACCAGTAGCAGCACTCGTCCGGCCCGTAGTTGGATTTGTTCGCCTGCGCACCCGTTTCCAGGATGCGCGGATCTGAAACGCACATACCCCGCATTGAATCTTAAGTAGTACTTATCTCTACACTAGGAGGGAATTCAAACAGAACTTGTATTTTTTATAGATTTGAACGTATGCCGGCGACGTGGAACTGGTTTTTAAGAAAAGTGTTAAAATATAAAAGCTTTAAGTGAAACAAAAGTTACAGTAATGTGATACTTAAAAAGGGAAAAGAAATATATTAGTTTTTTTTCTCTAAATTATATAAAGTACCTATTAACTGACCCGGGAAACTTGTACCGCCACAGAATTAAAATGTGAAGTTAGACGAAAGTCATTTCTAAGCGTGCCTTCTCTAACAGGAACGAATAATTATGCTAAAATAAATTTACTATTTTAATTGCAATTTATTCATATTTTCTCACCTTTTAAACTTTCCTTAGACTTCTTCACTTCCACAAACATTTCAAAACCAAAGCTAGAGTTTTAGTGTGACTAATAACCGTATTTAATATTCATTTACATAGGTAGATAAAAAATGCAGGGTAAGATGAATAAACTATGTGTGTTTCACAAAGAAAACCACCTAAAAATTAACTTTAAGCTATATTTGCTATTTTTTATAACTTACCTTATTTTAACAACGTAATCCTTCATTTACTTTAGGTAAAGTAAATTTAAGTTATCTTACAGATTTGTAGGCATACTGACGAGGTTAGATCATAATTTTACGATGCAACATAAACATAGATATTCAAGAATCGTCTGTGTTTTTCTGATATTTTTTTCATTATATATTGTAATTAATAATTTACGATATATAGGTATAATAATTTATATATAGTATGAACTTCAATGTTTTCTTAGAAATAATTGGTCCATCATAATTTTGTTTAAAGTGAGTAATTATTATTACCAAAAGCAAAGAGGCAGGCTGAGAGAAGTTTATGGAAATGGTAGTCGGTATAATAAGTAATTTGTAGTCAGAAGAAATTATATTTTCATGCAATGACGACTAATAAGAGGCCCACGGCCTCGTATCAAAATTAGTTTTTACTTAATAAGTTTATAATTTGTCTAATTAAATTATAAATTATTATGTATAATGCTAGATTACAAACTGATGATGCTTAAATTTTACTGTGAAAATTTGGGAGCAAACAGTACTGAAATAAAAGGAGGTCCACGCTTGATTAGTCTGCTCTACACCACTGCGAGAAATTGTTATCAAATATAATTCTTACCGAGGCATAGGAACGTGGGCTCCCCTGCATACTGAGTGGGGTAGGCAGGTGCGCGATCCGCCGGCAGAAAGTAGGGGCAGTGTTGCTCGACGAGCTGGCAGACAGAGAGACAGGGTTTGAGTCTCGCTAGAGGCCGACCGGGGCCAGCGGCAGCGGCGCGGACCCAGCGGCCGACGACGCCGCCGGCGCGCCGCCGGTCCAGATGTCCGACACGCTCGAGGTGCCGCGCTCGCCACCGTGCCGCGTGCTCGGCCGGCGCTCGCCGTGTTCGCCCACCCTCCTCGCCGCCTTCCTCCGCACCCTCCTCCACCCAAAGAGGCACCATTGTGCTGCACGCCCAACGTCGGTATGTCTCCTGAAATATAAATTTTAGGATTGATAATACTAATGAATTGGGTAGAGGGTATATCTCCCAAGTAGCAAAATTCGGTGGCATAGTTTCAAGAACGTTTTATTATAATGCGTGCTAATCAGTTTAATAATAATGTTGTAAACCCCAAATAGGCCCTAGTTTTATCATCGATTTGATCTAAAAACATAACATACTCTTAAATATTAAAGAATTAAATCGCTTTGTTGAAAACCATTATAGTACAACCAGTCACAACGGTTACTATTATAGATCTTATTTTATGACTGATAAGTAACTAAAGGTTTTAGTTATAGTAAATAGTGTTACTTGGGTAATTACAAGATTATCAAGTCACGCCCGTGTAAATTATAGTCTATGTCACCAGCGAATGTAGAGTTTTCAACAGTATAGTTTCAGAACCTTCTTCTTCTTCTTTTTTATAATATTACTATAGATGTGTGGATGTGGAAGTAACAACACTTATTATTTAATTCAGAGGTGAAGCTGGAATATCTGGTAATAAAAAATGTTTTTTGGTCTACTAAATGGCGCTACGAAATTTTTTTTACTTGCTCATAATTTATAATTAATAAATCTGGAATCATTACGAAACTCTTTTTCGGAGTTGATTTTTGTTATTTCTCCTAAAACGTGCTGTGTCGCCATGTTCCATGATTGTAAAGTCTGAACAATATACATATATGATACATACTGGTCGTCAGTTCTTTCGTTAGGTCATGGTGTTCACAATGAAAACTAAAAAAGTTTCACAATAAGCCACTATGTAAATAACCGCAAAAGATGAAATTCAAAAATTTCGTAAACTTAATTCTAAAAGTTCATTTATAAATATGATTAGTAAACTCGTAACATTAATAATTTATATGTACATAAGTATATAATTTTACAATTCTTTTTTTATACGAAGTTGTAGATATGTTAGTACAGAATTACACAAACTGGCTAGAATTTCTATAATAAACTAACCAGGAGGGTAGACCTAAAATCTTAGGCGCAGAACGTTTTGATTTGCGAGATCTCTCCACATTACGAAAACGCGCTCACGGCGACAGCTGGCGTCACCCGACCCTTCTCACTTTTATCGTTATTCAGCATTTTTCATTCCCGCAGGAAATCGCGCTTAGGAGCAGTGATTAATTAGTTATCAGCCGACTCGCCGCACGCGAGCACTTATTTTCAAGCACGATGTAGATATATATACGCCGTATACGTAAACAAGCAGCCTGAACAAGCTCACGGTCCCTAACAAATTTGTGTTAGCAATGTCCTTATAAGCTTGATCCTCTCATAAAGTTTATGCATGTTTGTTTATAACATAATCTGCATGACTTGGGTTTGCTACTAAAATTACCTGAGGACTTTAGATAATGGATATTGTTTTTTGTGGTTATAAGTTTTACAAATAAATATTAGACATTATTTTACAGATCTCACTTTAAATAGCTTGTCTTGTATTAGGGAAATCTGAAACGAAGGTACCAAATCAACCACATCCTAGACATAGATATAGAAAATTGCATTATCTATTTTCACCCGACCGGTAATCGAACTCAGGAACTTGAAAATGTAAGAAGTGTTATAGAGAGCTCTGGCACGTCCTTTTGGCTAACTCAGGTCTTAACAGGCCAAGCCTGCAGTATCCTCATAGATTATAAATTACTGCGCGTGACTCTTATCCCTGAAACAGTGAGCTGGTGTAGGATGTAAACAACCATTCGAATATGGGCGATATGCGTGGGTCCAACATGATTACATGTCATGTTGCAACATTGATAAAAAAGATCCAAAGAGCTTAATGAGATTTGGAGTTTGTAGAGGAAATCTTCAGCACTCTTAAACAGAATATATTCACCGAAATAAAAAATAAGAACAGTGAATACAACAACTTATATTATATAAATCTTAAATAGGGCTAGCTTTCTATATTCACCCGATTGAGAATCGAACCCGATATCTCAGAAATAGCGATATCTTGAAACCAGCGTTGGAGCCACTCGGCTAAGGATATTATCAAATACATAACAATGCACACATACACACTTCTAAATATGTCAGTATCGCCCAAGTGTCAGGGACGTAACAAGCCGGGGTATCCAAGACGTGATGAATATCGGACCGGGAGACATCTTGTAATTAATACTAGGGTATTCAGAAAAGCCTCGGATGCCCGTTTATCGCAACTCGGCGACTCTAAAAGAGGGACTGATTAAAAAGCCTGCGGTCCAGAGCAGACAGATACAGGTACGATTAATGAAAATTGCAACATTAAAAGCTGTTACGTTGAAAAAATAATCAGCTGCACACACTTTATGGCTAAGAAATATAATTATATTATAGATATAACTCTTCATTGCTCATACATACAACGAAAAGTTTACTATATAGAAAATTACAGTGGGCAAAGGAGGTTTTAACGCTAAATAAGCTTTTGCTAACATTTGCGTTGTATGCTTTTAACGATTCCAATATCTAAATATAGTAAATATTAATAGACAATATTTAATATTTAAAAGATTGACGTTACAAAAATGATATATTCATGCATTATAAGTTATGTAAAAAATAAATTAGTTAAATATGCTGTGGTGGTTGTGGTTTTGTGGCTCTAGAAAAATGAGTTAACTGTTTAGTTCCATTTTCCTGTAAATTGACCGTTTCTTTGTTATATCGTAATGACGTAGTTTTAATCTTTAATAATGAAAACTTATTTATAAATCTATAAGCGGTCTGTGTGCAAAATAATATTATAAATTACGCAATTACATAATTTGTTTTATTTTTTTTACATTAAGTCATTTTATGTCTAGTTCTTAGTGGGTATAAGTATTAATGCGATATGATTTTCATAAGTATATGTTTAGGTAAAGGTATAAAGTAAAAATCCAATAGCCAACGCTATATGACCTTTTTTGTTTTGTCAATGGATATGTTTTTTTGCTTTTATAAGGTTGTTTTTCATTAAATTTTGATTTATTTCAGTTTTATTCATAGCAAATGGGCTAGGCGGTCGCAGCGCTTTTTGTAACTAAATTCCGTTTCGAAGCCGAACACGTAACGAGAATCAATTTTGGCATTGTGCTGTTCATAGCTTCGAAAAGCGAAACTAAATACATTTCGTAGAATAGGATAGGGTATTTCTAGAAATTTTTCGGAGTTTGTGAGTAGGGTAGTCCGACTTCAAAACACGAACTTTATGCCTTTCTTTAAATAATAAAGCTTTGTATTGGAGAAAGATTTTTTTGAAGAGCTTTTGTAGTTTTTGACTTTATATAGTAGGTATAAACAAATATCAAAACTATATTCTTCACGCGCACACGCATATACACTAGAGTGAGTTAAATTAAAGAAGTCCCCCAAATCTTTAATAAATCACTTATACTTATACGCTTTTAATCAAGTTGAGAAACTGTTTATTTTGCCTGTGCAATATGCACCACAATATGCATTATGTTCTGGTTTTCCTTTTTTAGGTAAAATGAGACATATAGTTCTAATTTTGCTTGAACATTTAGTTATATATTCGGTCAGTTGCATAAACGTCTATTAGGTTTTAATGTTTGAGCTCTTAATGAATGTCAAATTTGTATATCTAATGTCTTTATACTTTTGACAATTTTAATGGACCGTTGTGCAACTGGTCGATTTATTGTTAAATTATATCTATGTAATTTTTTTATATAATTTTTCTGGAGATTCACTTAGAGTACTTAGAGTAGAGTAATAAAATAGCATAGTACAAGATAAAGTCTGTCTGTACGCTGAGATATTTAAAACCAAATAAAGGATATTAATGCGATTTTCAACAACAAATAGAGGTAATAGAGGTAGAGGGACGTAGGTACTTGTATTGCAACCTTTAATTAACTAAGCCTAGTCTTCTGCGTAGCTTACTAAGATTGTTTAATGTTAAAATCTATCACAATAACACTAAATTTGACACTTGAAAGCTATTCACAAACTTTGCGCTTAAACTAGCATAGCAATCTGGAATCGCGATATTTTGTGAAAGATTTATTGAATTGATTGATTGATTGAAAGATTGATTGATTGAACTAAGGGAAGTGATACTTACTTTGAATATCTTTGAAAGCCATTTTGAAATGTAAAACGAAATGAATTGTCTATGACATTTAATCATTCAAATCATCATTCGATCGAAGCGATTACACAATTACATGAATCACTATCACAACAGCTATACGTTTGAAAGGAATTGTGATAGATTTTAACATTAAAGGATTAGGCTACTGATTCATTTAAAAATGTAATTATGATCTCAATTAAAATATTATTATTATCCATACTCTTTTTCGGATCTGTAAGTGGTGGTAGCCTACATTTTATGGCCAAATATATATATATATATAATAAACTGCTATGCTATGTATTTTTTGTGTGTGCATTTATGTGTTCTTCTTCAAATTGTAAAAACTTTTTATTTTTTATTAAATATATGTAGTTGACTGGTACTATGGTATAAAAAATTCATTTCCAATGTTAACTGTATACAGATTCCATTCTCCATATATCTTTGGCTAACAGCCTGTCTCTCGTTCTATGGATATTGTTCCACTAATCGCCAATTGACGTACGCTTAATGCAATTTGGTCCGGCCGAGGGCGACCTGTTGTGGTTCGGTCTATTCTCCCAGCTATTCGCTAGTTAGCCAAGGCATATTGGGGTCAATGACCGTTTTATCTAGTTTATTGACATACGTTATTAATTATGTCTAAGCTCTTACAACAGTATTAGTGTGAGTATTATAATCATTTTTTTAATCAACAATTATAAATCTATGAATCAAAGAATATAAATTAAAACTATAGGTATTATTGTTTTCTCTGTTTAAATATTATACCTATAGATGCATATTTTTAAGATATTTTCTTAGATAAATCATCATCATCAGCCAATTAATGTACCCATTCCTGGTGCTCAGATCTTCCTTAGGGATAGCATCAAATATTCATATTCGTACTGAAATATATACACAGGGCCCGCGTGGCGGGTATCAAGGACTGTAGATGTAGCTAGGACTAACGACTTAAAATGCCTTTCGAAGCACAAAGTAAAAAAAAAACGGTCACCAATCTTTATAACCGGCTCTTGCGAAAGTTGCTTCACTTCCGCAGAGCAGACCGAACGTTCTATCTAGTAACCATTGCACCATCGAGCTCCTCAAGCTCCTAAGATAAATAGATCCCATATTTCTCTGTAAATATGGGATCTATTTATCTTGCAAAACAATAGAAATAACAAAACGAGATATTATTGTCTCTTTATTGTTTTGAATTATCATCACATCATCACTTATTCTAATTTCAGGCAACTTATAAAAACACTTACACAAATAAGGTTACACAACGAAAAATTTTTAAACCATGATTTAATGAATAGTATAAAAAAACCTCCGAAGATTCAAATAAAATTAAAAAATATATATATTCGAAATAACTGCGACATTAACAATTTTATTTAAACTGGTCCTAAATAGTTCTAATAAAAA